TTCAACAGATATTTCTAGAAAAACCAGGTGTCTACATGTAGAAGAATGAGACTAGTTCTTCATCTGTCACAAAAGTTAACTCCAAACAGATCAAAATCTTAAAGTGATACCTGAATCTTGGAACCACTAGAGGAAAAAAAATAGGGAAAACACTAGAAAGTGTAGGCATAAGTAAAGTCTTTCTGAATAGGTTGCTTGGGAGAAATAATGCCAATAATCAACAAATGGAACCTTGTGAAGAAAAAAAAAAAACTTCCATGTAGCAAAGGTGATGTTAACTGAGTGAAGAGGCAGCCCACAGAATGGGAGAGAATCATTACCAGCTCTGTGTATCCCATGGAAGATTAATATCTGCACTATGCAAACTATTAAAAGAACTAAACAAGAAAATACAACCCAATTAAATTGGCCTAAGGAACTGAATAGAGAGTTGTGAAAAGAAAGAAATGACCAATAAATATTTTTTAAAGTGTCCAATATCCTTAGCCATCAGATAAATGCAAATTAAACTACTCTGAGGTCCTATCTCACCCCAGTTAGAACATCAGTAATAAAAAAATGATAACAAATGCTAGTGAGAATGTGGAAAAGAGAACTCTTATTCACTTGGTGGGTGTATAAACTGGTTTGGACATTATAGAAATTAATGTGGAAGTTTCTAAAAAGCTAAACATAGAACTACCATACAATCCAACAGTAACATTCCTAGGCATATATCCAAAGGACTCTGTATCTTACTATAGAGTTACTTGTACATCCATGTTACTGCTGTTCTATTCACAATAGTAAATAAATGGAATCAGCCTAAATGTCCATTAGCCAATGAGTAAATAATGAAAATGTGGTACATACACAAAACAGGATTTTGTTTAGCTGTAAAGAAAAATGAAATTATGAAATTAGCAGGAAAATGGATGCAGCAACTGGAAGATTTTATATTAAGTGAACTAACAGGGTCAGAAAAACAAATATGATATGTTCTCTCTAATATGTAGATACTAGCTTCTAGTTTTTATATACGTGCATTAATGTGGGAGTGAATATGTGTAGAGTCCAGGAAACGGGCATATGAAAGAGGAGAAAGGGGCATTACCTGTTGGGGAGAAAGTAGTAGAGCCTATGTGATACAAAAGTGAAAAGGGAATGCTGGAGATGGAAAGGTTTAAGCAGGAAGTAGGGGGTTGGAAGGTGTGTGAGAGGGTCAGGGGAGGGTCAACCCAAATTAAGGATGTATGAAAAAGCCACAAACAAAGATGATACTTGGCAAAGCTAATTAAAAATACAATAACAAAAATAATGTTTTAATGGTGGCACCCTGTGTGGGTGGATAAAGCTCCTCCTAGAAGCTACAGGTTACTAAAAGAAAATGCCAGTGCCAGGGTGGGTTACCTCCCTATGAGATGTTAGTTAGCAAGGTCTTCAAGTTCCCCAAACAATACAGGCAATTGCCACTGCTGTTAGAGGTCCACCAGAACTAGGGTTCTAGTCCCTGCTGCTGAAGATACCACATGCTCTGGTTTCAGGACATAGAGAAATCAAGCTGGAATTCAGCTGGAAGCGTCCATCTTTCTGGCTAGCCCTCTCTAGTTCCAGAAAGTCCTATACAGGCATTGGGGGAGAATTGTAATCAACAATATTAATCAGCTGTGAACAATACCAACTGGCTAGTCAAGATGTGCCCACTAATGCAACAGTGGAAAGTCTGTGATAGGGTTAGTAACAACCCACCTTCTGATTGGATCAGGCCACATCCAGGGGAGGGAATTCATATTTGGTATTGTGAGTTCAATTAAAAGCCTATATCACGGAAGGTCATAGACTCTAGTGGGGAAGCTACAACTGTAGTTTTGCTATGTGGACATGCCATGCCCATTGAATTGCCTTCTAATTAGCTATGCTTATGCCTGTAGGTTAGTGCTGCTATCAGCTTTGTTCAGAGAAGCTTGTTTTTGTAGTGGACAACAGTAACTGTTTAAAGCGAAGATAATTAATGACTGTCGAATGCTCATTCCTAAATGAGACATCTATATTATATCATTCTCTTAAGCATGAGAGAACATTGTGGAAGAGGGAGGTAGAAAGAATGTAACAGTGGAGGGATAGATGAAATAGTGTTATCCTATCTTCTGGGTATGGCATGGCTCTTGAACTCTTGAACTCACAGCAGCTGGTTACTCGCACAAGACTTGCACAAGATGGGGCCTGTCAACATCTTGCCTTTTAAGGGACAGGGGTTCATGAGACATAACACCTCCATGAGGATTTATAGATTTATAGTCAGTTAATGGTTGATGGAGGAGGGAAAAGGAGAATTTCCTTCAGCGGTGTAGCCACTGGTACATAACCCTTCACTTACGCTTCTGCAAGCAACCCTAATAAAACTCATTGGGTCATTAAAAGACATGAAAATAGAAAGGGGCTAGGTGGGAGGAACAAGGGGATTAGCAAGAGTGGGAGGGGTCAAAAGAGGGTAAGGAGGTGGGTATGATGAAAATGCATTATGTACATGAAACCCAATATTATGTATAATTAATATATGCTAATAAAAGCATGGACCATTACATATGATAAATATATGTGGATAAAAATACACAGCTCTGTGTGGTGGCTAATGTTGGATACTTGCATAATTCTGTCACTTTTCTAGTGTTCTTTCCAGGGATGTCATGTTGAAGTGTTAGGAGAGAGCTGCCACTGGACCCTGTGCCTTGATACTCTACGGCTCTTCCTACTTCCCCAGCACTTCTCTGACCACTCAAAGGTTCTGCTGCTGTAGTCATCCACATTTGCTTTGTTTCCAGCAGTGTTTCCCTTCTGTGTCATATTAAAGTGCTTTCAAGGACAGTCATGGGACAAGCCCAAGGCAACTGAGCTACCTCGGGTAATAGTGTCACAGTGAGAATGCTAGATGCCTCCGCATTGCCTTTCTTTCCAAATTCCTGTTGCTAAAACTGTCTTCCAATCATGATCTTCATTAAATTACTCAGTACTTCTGAGTACTTAGAAAACCGAGAAAGATATGTATTATTTCATCATAAAAGAGATAAAAATGTAAATAAAAAAGTCAAGCCAAACTCCTGAAACTTGTTTCTGCACAGACTGTGCTGGGCTTTATATGAAACCCCTTTGCTCATTCTGGGATGTCTGCTCCACCTTCATGTTCTGGCAGAAGGAGAGGTAGAGCTGCCATCTGTCTTTATTTTTCTAACCCTCCACAGGACATCACAAAGTGGGCACTACAGGGACACTCAGCACTGCCAACTCCATTCCTTCACCCAAATGCTTGCTGCTTCTCTGCCCAGATTCCCGGCAGGGCTGGCACTGGGCCTCTGGCTGATGTCTGTCTGCTCTTTGGCTCTTTGGAAAAGGAAAGCAGGATTGGACTGGAGAGACCTCTGAAAAGCACAATTTAAAGGATTCTGACTTTTGGAGACATAGCCTCTCCCTGTAGGCACCGTACTCTCTCTCCTGTTACCTGTTTGCTCTATACCCGGGGTACCTGATCCCAGGACTGGATGGACACTGGCTGGTCTGACTATACGTCTGTTCTCTGTGAGGGGAGCTGGAATCTGCAGCTTTGTGCTTCTCTGTTATGATCTTTACAAGGTTAAGGACTATGACCTATTCAACATCGAATCTCAGAGCCTGACCTAGTGCTTGACTCATTGTTGGTGCTCAAAACATGCTTTTAAGAAGGTGAATGAGTAACAGAAATTAAGGAAGGCAAGAGTGGGCCATAGGAAGAGCATGGAATTTAGCTAGAGAGCTAAAATGGGTCTTATTCAAAGCTTTGCTGCTTAGTGGGAGTACAGCAAATTCCTGTTACCTTGTGAGCCTCAGGTTCCTCATCTCTCACATGCTGACAGTCACACTTGCCTCTTAGGGCTGCTGTAGGGATGAAATGATAGAGAAGAGCATAGCTCTTGGAACAGGCATGACAGGTCTTAAGGGGCATTTGCTCTTTACTGAGAAGTCCTGGTAGCTCAACAAAGAAGTAGGGACCTTGGTCCTCAGCATCCTCACTTTGGTTACCTTGGGGTCCTGGGAGGGCCATGGTAGAGACTGGTCCATGAGAAACTCTGAGTCATAGAGTGGCATTTCCTGCCCTAAAATGATTTGTTTACATTCCTCTCACCACCTGAGGTCTATGGAGGCATCTGTGGAAGCAAATACACTTCAGTTCCATTGAACTTTGTTCTTAGCACAGGCTTGGGAGGCTTAGTGAATGGGGTAGGACAGGGGAAAGCTCTGTGAACAGGAGGCCCACTTTCGGCTGGCTACTAATCAGTTGCTACCTTGAGCAAATCATACAGCCTCTCTTGGCCTAACTTTCTTTTTTTTTAATACTGGGCAGATGGCTACTGGGGAATTGTTCTAGATACTGTCTCACCTTTTGTTTATTTTATTGACTGCAATAGCAGGCCAGATGTCCATATGCAGCATACTTTTGGGGTATGGACAGATTTTGCTACATCTCTCCAAATGATGAGGGGGAACTAATAACTAAACTGATATTAGCAGTTTAGAAAAACGTTTTACTATGGACACTCAGCACAAGATTGGATCTGAGTTATATACAGTGTCTTTGCAAACGCTGGAAGTCTATGCTGTTTCTTCCCCACAAGGATAACAGAGCATGAGCGTGACAGGTATTCTTGTAGGTGACTGTGGTTCTGCTTTATTTTATTTGAGGTCATGGATTTTCAGTCTTGGATCTTGGTGAGGAGTAGCATATTTTTGTGATGTAATTCACAGTTGATCCTGGACACCTCTTTCCATTGTGGTATCAGAAATGAGACTGAATGGGTCAGATTCAGTTTTTTTTTTTTTTTTTTCAAAAGGAGCTTTTAGTTTCCCAGTTTCTGTTACTTTTACACACCCAGGACAGTATACCTATTTGACAGTAGGACACTATAATGGGGCAGATTGGCATAGAATGGGGTGGGAAAGGGGGGAACTCCAGAGCTGAAGAATTTTGTAAATCTTTTTCAGTGACTCACCCATTACAGACGTCATTCCCAATCATGGCATATATGACGATGGCTGGATGGTCCAACACCTGGTTCCTAGACAAGCTGAGGAGATGTGGAAGAGTCAGAGACGCTTTGTAATCAGCAACACAGGTCTTTGTATGACCATCCTCTTGGAAAATATTTCTGTTTTTCTTTCATTTCAGCAAAGCTAATCACCATTCCTGTTCTCCTCTTGTTCTCTATATTTCCCCATTAGAGAAAATACCACATTAGTTCATAAAATAAAAAGGGTGGATTGAAATCCCAGGTAAATAAAATAAAAAGGGTGGATTGAAATCCCAGGTAAATAAGCCCACTTCCACCTTTCATCTTCCTAGCATTGGTAACATCATCAACAAGCATAGGTGAGTTACCTGGGTTGCTAATGCCCAGTTTCATAGGACATTCTCAGAGCTGGGGGCCCCTACTCAGTTCATATAGGTAAAGACTTCTTGAGGCTTCTGATCTGGACACTACAACCTCATTTCAAATTGTAACCCTCAAATAGGCACAATAGTATTACCATGGTAGCTCATGGCTATACTCTCTGCACTTGGGAGGCTAAGGCAGGAGCATTGCATGAGTTGGAGGCCAGAATGGGTTACATAGTGAGCTCCGGACCAGTCTAGAGACCGTCTCAAAAATCAAAAACAAAATACCCCGAATTATTTTTTCTTATTTGTATAGCCAGAATATGATGTAGTCCTTTACAGTATTTCAGTGGCTTCCAATTCATATGCACTTAATTAATATAGCAATTCATATGCACTTAATATTTCTTTGTTGAGGACATACACAAATTAATCACTTCCTAAGGTTATTGGTCCAAGAAGAGGCCTCCCAGTTTTCAGATAGTGACTAACAGATGTTCAGTAGAAACGATCATGAGGTAATAAGAGGTTTTATTCCTTTTGAAATATGTTACCACATTTGAAAAACAATTTCTTAGATCTATCTTCCACTTACCTTCCTATAAAATTCTCCAGATTTTGGGAAGATGCACCTGAATAATTACAATTAAGAAAATAATTAAGTTAGTGAGTTTAAGTGATTCCAGCGACATGAGAGGCTGATTGGCTGAATTCGTGTGAGAAGTATCAGTGCTCAGTCATCAGAGGCTGTGCAGACTAGCACACTGATGGCGGTCATTTGCTTTCTGTGATTTTCTTCAGTGTTTCACCTTGGATTGCTCCTTTAGGGGTTTTCTGCCTACCTGGAATTATATTAACATAACCCAAAGCCCTTTGGATTCATGGGTTGCTAGACATTTCCTAAGCATGGGTGGGTAAATGCTTTAGTAGACGCATGAAAAAAGTATAAATCTGCCACCAAAGAGACAGATTACTCAAAATACTAAGGAACAAGTTGAAAAATCAGAGGAACAGTGAAAAAGCATTTTCGGGGAGCTGAACAACTCCCTGGAGACCCTCATTTAATGTCTTCCTGATATTCCCACTCACTCTTGAGGCTCCTTCAGGCTGTCTGGCTAGTGCCAGGCTCAGGTAGTATAGCTGACATATCTCAACTCCTTCTGTCATAGATGTAACCATCCTCCCTGAAACCCTGGTACCACTTGTAATGTGTCTCTTACATGAACATTGCATTTCATGACTATTTTCATCAATGAACTCTTAAATATCTACTAGCTCATTTAAACTTTATCATAATTGTGTGAAGCAGGCAGAGAGATATTCCATTTTATAGCTGAGGAAACTGAGGCTTACTTAAGTGACTTGGCCAAAGCCACACAACTACTAATTTAGAGAGCTGCAGTTCAGGCCAGGCCTGCTGCCTGCAGCTCTGGTTCCCTGTGGAACAGCAATCCTCATCTTGGAAGAGTGAATGCAAATAGCTTTGTTGCCTTCTTGTCCTTAGGAGGCTGGTCTGCCAGTACTCAATGAGTAGTTCTCTGGTGGATGACGCAGCTCAGTGGATAGGAGTAGAAAAATGACATCTAGTCACTTGCTACCGAATAATTCTTTTCATATTTCTGGAACTGGAGGCTTGGGAGACAGGTGCACGTTCTTACAGAGCTACATGAGAGGAATGGCAGTGCACAGTAAGGGCTTCCTTTGATGCTATGTGACCATTCAGTGATGGTCTCTGCCACACAGAAGCAATCACAGGCCATATCAGCAAGGGTTATGCTCTCACAGCTGAAACAGGAATGTACGACATCAAGTACACTTAACTATTGTGTAACCATCACCATTGTCCAGCTCCTGAACTTTTCCATCATCCCAAATTGAAACCCTGTAGTCATTCTTGATGTCTGATAGCTCCTGATGAACACCATTCTACTTTATATGTCTGAGTTTAATTGTTCTAGGCATTTCATATAGGTGAGTAATATAAAATTTATCCTTTTGTATCTGGCTTATTTCACTTAGCATCATGTCCTCCAGGTTCATCCCTGTTGTGGTCCACATTATAATTTGTTTTTTTTTTGTCTGTGTGTGAGTGCAACATGTACATGAAAAACCCACAGGTCAAGAAGAGGGTGTTGGACTCCCTGGAACTGGAGTTACACATGGTTATTACCTGCCGTGTAGGTGGTGGGAACCAAACCTGGATCCTTTGCAAGAGCAGTTAGTGCTCTTAAATGGTGAGTCATCTTTCCAGCCCAATTTCTTTCTTTTTAAGAGTTAGAGAAGTGCACCAAATGAGTCTGAAGTGCTGAGCTCCAGCTCCGTTTTGCTTATCATTCACCCATCAATGGACATTTCAGCTGTTTTCAACTTTTTGTTATTATAATCATTCTGCTCTGAACATTGGTATACAAATATAAATTCAGATTTGTGCTTTTAATTCTTTTGGGTGAATAGTTAATTGTAAGTGTCATTCCATAATGCAATTCTATGTTTAATTTTTTTTTTTGAGAAAGTGCCATTTTATCTTCCTTCCTTTTTGTAGTGAAGCAGGGTATTATTAAAGATGTACTCAGCCATACAAATTAAGGGCAGCCAGTCCATCTTGGCATATATAACATATCTGTCCACTCCATTAACCTATGAACACTAGCCACAAGTGTGGGTGCCTGTCTATACTTGAGGAGTACTGTCTATGTGGGTAGATAACATAATTCAGTGCAATTTTGGAAGCTTAGTGCCAAAACTTGAGAGACAAAACTTAGTGTGACTTGAGTCCTGTTATCTCTGCTTGGAGAGTTACCTGAATGAACACTGAGTCCTCAATGTAGAGATACTCTCTGGACAGCGAGTTGTTCTCTGCTGTCTTCCAGTGGGAAGGAGAGTACAACTTTCTCCCTGCCTAGGGCTGACTTGTGTCCTGTGGTGGCTCTCATCTCTGCTGGACCCTTCATTCAGTTATACTCCAGGGTTCTCAGTTTCCTATTTTTAGAATGATATGAATCAGAAGGTGTTTAGGTCTCGTTCTTTGATTTTTCTCTTAATGAGAAAGCTCAGGTCACGAGTGGGAAAACATTACAGACCAGGTGCCCCCAGCATCAAGGACATGTGGAATCTGATGTATGGAGAACCCACAGGGATTGAGGAAAACAAAAAAGAAAAGTTGTCATGGCTGGACAGGTTGTCCCTCCTCACAGCCAGTTTGACCTATGCCCCTTTACTACTCTGGACAAAGACAATATACCAGTTGTAATTAGCTGTAGTATATTTAAAAAGCAGCCACAAGTTGGAGGTGGTGGTGCACATCTGTAATCCCAGTATTACAGGGATTACTCAGGAAGCAGAAGAAGAAGGACCAAGAGTTTAAGGCCAACCTGGCCTGCATAGTGAGTGCTTCTCTAAAATAGCAAATAAACAAAAAATTAACAATGGACAGCTACCCAAGAAGCAAGGAATTGCCTGTTCTTTACCCAAATGCCCACTTTTTTTCTTGTACAGATTCTCTCTGCTCCAACGTTCTTGCATTTTTCATTTCCTTTTGGAAATCTCAGTTTTATAAGATTATCTAATGGCTTTGTGCCTCTCCCATTCCATCTCTGCTTTTTACATCTTTTTGCCAGACTCAACACTACATCTTTCTCCTTCCCAGTCTCTACTGCTCCCTTTTGTAGCTTTCTCCCAGCTGCTGATGCACCTGCCACTGGAGAAAATACTAAAGCTACTGTAATTGACAGACATGAACAGCAAAGAAAGACAGCTCCTAGCCTGTGCAACATGATAGAACAAGGCTAATATTTGATGAAGTTACAAAATTTGCAGTCTGCAATTATAGTTTCAGAGAAATGAAAAAAATGACTGGAATAGGAGAATTTTATTTATTAAGGTACTCCAATGAAGAACCTACATGTCTTCAGTTAAAAGTAGAAGGGTTCATGCAGTCCTTTAAAGTCTGAACTGTGTCAGGTATGGGCTTCATCTCGTGAAGCAGACCTTAAATACAATGGGAAGGTAGTTAGTTACTCCCACAACATTCATGCCACTATTGTACCAGTGGCATTCTTGCCAGGCCAGCTTTTGTTGTAGCTCACATTCATAGCTGGGCAAGGCTGATGATCCCTTTTCACTTTTGGTAGCATAGTACCTTGTAGCAGTATGAAAGCTAGCCAGTAGAGATGAATCTTTGAGGTCAGTACCAGTCTGATTTTTCCTTGTTTGTTCTACAACTCCTATATGTAGTGTCTTCAGCATTGGGGTCTTAACATCAAGCTCTGTCAGGTAATCAAGAGAAGGGACAATGGCTAATATTGTCTGAAGGTCTACGGGATCCTTGATCAACAGTTTCAAAAGAGGGAGTTCATTCCTGGCATTGAGTTTTTTCTTTGCTTGCCTATGGTGTCTAGTAGGGGCAATGTTCCCCTATTATAGGGTAACCCCTTTTAATATCTTTTTATATTGTATATGTATATATTTAAGAAGTTTCTATAGTGGTAGCCCTCCATATGACCTTTTCTCAAGGCCTTTAGTGTTATTTATCCCTACTCATACTCCCTCCTCTGCCCTGCACTCCCATTCACCACTCCGTGACTCCTTCCTAGTCCATTACTTCCCTTTCCCCCTTTATACCACTGCATTCTCTCTTCCTTCCCATAAAGCCTACCCTGCTCTCCATGGCTGTTCATCAGTTTCCTGATCTCTCTCGATTTTCTAGTTGAGAATAGCAGATGGTGATTAAAACAGAACCACAACTGGCCAACGTGTGGAGAATAAGAGACTGCAGAATGCTTATCCATGAGTAGGACATATATCAAAACTTTACCTCCTAAGACTCAGGGATCATTGTGGAAAAGGGGGAAGAAAGATTATAAGAGCCAGAGAAGGTAGATGGTCACAAGGAAACAGTTTTTCAGACAGTTGGGAAGAAGTTACTCATATGAACTCACAGCAGTGGTGACAGCATGCACAAGACCAAGGTAAACTCAAGCCAGACAAAAATATCAGCATAGAAGTATGGAAGTGAGTAAGAAGCTCCAGCGCTAGCTGAAGAACTATTGGCAATCACTAGCTACTGGGAGAGGGAGAGTCAGTTTTCTCTAAGGCTGTAATGGTTAACCAGGCTCCAGTGGATGGACCCACAGGGAAGGGCATTTGAGGATACAAATTTGACTCAATAGGCCTTAAAAATATGCTATTTACATGTAAATAAATAAATAAATAAGTATATAATAGAAATTAGGCAAGCGGGTAGTAACAGGCAGCAGATGGGGGAGGGGGTCTAAGTATAAGCAAAATACATTGTATGAAATTCACAAAAATGAAAAAACGTCTGGACGGTGTCTTTTAAATAGAGTGTATCACATTTCAAGAAGAGAAGGGCTGCGCATGATCTCAGTGACATGGCTTCACCCTCCCTTAGTGAATTCCACCTGGCGTTTCCACCGTAGGGTCAGTGTTTCCCATGCCGTCAAGCATCTCATGTTCTGTGCATCCTCTCAATGGGCCAAACAATTTTAACAGACTTCTAAGTGCAACTGTAACTTTTAGTGCCTGGCAATAGTTTCAAATTCTTCATGGAAAGAGAAGGAGAAAATTTAGATATAAGGAGGATAAATCATAAATTAATTCATTCCTTTTGTAA